CACAGACAAAGCGGACTCAGCCAGTATCAATGCTACCAATGCCAAGTAATCATTTCCAGCGAGATGCCTTCCCTGGAGATACCGGGACCACAGTCTGAGCGCCACAGCGATGATAGCCATGGGGCCCACGATGAATGATACCACAGCTAGCTGTACGGCTCCTAATGGGAGGGTCATGTTGAGAGAGAATGATGGATCAGATCGCCTCACTGTTTCAGAGGGAGAAGGGATCAAATGTCAATGAAATTGAGTCTTTGGATCACCATAAATCATTATGTGACTTATAGTTTGAAAAAAACCCGAGTACCAGAGAGCTGTAAATAAGACAGTCTAGACGATCGCGGGTCATATGCGCAGCAATCACAATAGTTGTCACACTTGACAGGGGTCAATTCTGCCTTGTCCAGCCTGCAAGGCGAGCCCACTAAGAGCACCAATCTGCGGTACCGTGCATGTATTAAGATTTGAGGGGCCTGAATTTGGAGATACACATTACACAATTGCCCTTACACTTCTGATTCTTCTTCTTCTTCTTATACTTCTTCTCCTCCTCGTTCCCAGCTTGAATCAAGCATGAACAAATAATTATATGCTCTTATAGCAACACCGAGTGGTCCACAGGATGTATTCCAAGGCTCAACAAGCTCTCCGGGACTAGCCGAACCGCTCGCCCCACCCGCCCGCTGCGAACAGGCGCATCTCTTACAACTCGCTTAGGCCTAATGGAGGCACGGGCGCCGACCTCATCTAACACAGCCTCCAACAGATTTTCAAAGCTCCACCTCTCACCTCTGTACCCATTAGCCTGCAGCAGCAGACACAGTCCACACTTACCCAGTTAACTAATCTCAAGAGGGTATAAGGGAAGAGAATCAATTGATTTATTCTGAGACCATATTTCTCCACAGCAACAAATTCACAAGCGCCCAATCTTTCAAACACCTCAGCCTGGTACGCCTTATTGTCCGAAGGAAGACTCGTGCCAGGGGTGGGGACTCTTCCCCTTCCCCTCCCTCTCTTCCCAAGACGTAAACTAGACGACTTGAGTAGACTCGACTTGACTCTCCAGCCTACCCATCATTGTTGGTAATCAGCCTCAAATATCTATTATCACAGTAGTGTCTATCCCCTTACAAGCACCTCGAACTCACATTTATCTCCTCGGTTACTTTATTATTTGATTTGCAATGCATTGACCTATCAGAACATCTGTCCTTATACACAATTCCCAGAGCCTACCTAGTACACATTTCGCAGGAAGACGAGATTGTCTCACACTGAAGTGGCTTAGAGAATACGCAGAGGCATAAGAAAAAGTCCAACGAGCCAGAGTGGGTAAATCTTCCACGACCTCCGATCTCCCTCACGACTTTTGTTCCAGTAAAACCCCCAAACCACTATAGTGCCCGCAACGCACGCGGGGATGCAGGAAAGCCATGAGCGTTCCGCCGAGCCCACATCCCAAAACCAACAGGACAACGCTGTCCACGCTATAATTCCCACTGCCAGGGCAGACCGAGCATTTCCGTCTCCAATCAACAGGGGCACTGTCCTTCGACCGGTGGCTCTATCTCCATCAATGTCCCGAAAGTCCTGGGCGTGGACAGTGGTCGTAATTGCCCCAGCGAGAACAAGGAGCCACTTGAATGCTTTCATGTCGTCCGAAAGAACGGAGCTGTTTGTTGCAACCTCCAGTGGACCAGCAAAGAAGCACGCGAACCCAATCCCATTCAGCAAGTTCTTCAATAGTGGGCTCGATGCACCGTTCCATTCGTTGTACCACAAGCAGGAGATTGCCTCCAGAAGACAAGGCGCAACACCCCCCATGGTGCCTGAAATTGCAAATATGGCAGGATACATGCAATATATCAGCACTTTGGCTTGATGCGGAGTTATCCGGCCGGCTGAAAGAGGTCTCCAGGGCTTGTTGATCCTGTCCTCCGAGATGGCAGAGGCAGAGCGCTGATTATGGAGGGTGAAAAGGAATAAATTGCTCCATGACCAGAGAAACATTTGAGGCAACGACACCAGTATTTGGCGGAAAGACAAAGAGGCGCCCATGCCGAATTCAGACGCCACAGAGGCATTCAATGCTCCAAACAAAAGCCCCAGGCAGATAATATCTTTGATATTATCGCAGACAAATAGATGGGCCGTGTATGCATGATAGAACGATGATGATAGGAAAGACGCCATGGTTGTAGATATAATGGAAGTCAGTGAATTTGAGAATAGGAAAAGTGAAGTAGTGTCTTTTAGCCAGCCGTCGTGTGCCAGTATCCATAGTCTTGACTGCCTTTTATCCAGAGCCGCAATCGATCTCAGTGTGATATGAGGCTAGCTCGAAAGCTAGTTCAGATGTCACGCAATATACAAAACGTCTCCATACCCACTAACAAGGAGACAATCCTTCGGGGTGGATCTATATGACAGGCGGATAATTCTATAACAGGCTGGGAACCATCCATGTCTCCATTACATATTTGCTTTCGCAGCCCACGTCTATTCTTCTGACTTTGTCAAAGTTAAGATAGATATTTTATCCATTCTTGAATTGTTTTGTCTTTGAATAATGCCATGTGAATAATCCAGAGGCAATAGCTTTGTCGAGATGTTTAACAAGAGCCCAACCAACGTAGCTCAATCTCGGCCTTTGAAGTCAAATATCAAAACAGTCATTTTAATTTCTCAGTCTACAACTTATCTGTTCCTATCTGCTAGATCCAGTTAGGGGTCAGCCTGTGTCGGCTAACCACAGCAGACCCATCTTTAGTGTTGAACTTGAAAGGGAAACTAGTATCCGGTTTGCTTCCTCGTTCAAGTGCTTACCCCTGATACTAGTAATCATGTTTCTCGATCTTCCCGGATTGCCCTGGGAGTTTGTCCACAAGGGTCTCTGTCTAGCGGTCTTCCCCCGCCCCCCTCTTTCTTTCTTTCTTTTTTCTTTTGGGAGATATTCTCAAGACTTTTTTTGTACAGATCTCATTCAAAGACTCTGTTTGAGGTTCTGTCCAGTAATAGTTTCGGCAATTCTACCAGTAATACCATCAGATGTCTACGGGGCCTTAACGGGGGTCCTTTATGGGGGTTCTCTGGGGGGCTCGGGAGGGCTCGGGAGGGCTCGGGAGGGCACTACTAGGTGGGGCCGCTAGCAGGAGTTAGAGAGTCAGGCCAGATTAAAACCACACAGCGAAGACAAAGCATTTCCCGAAAGACCGTTTGTTTGTAGATCTTCCATCCATTTGGAATGGTGGGGTCTATTTTCCGTATATCGTTCTGATACGAATTCACTTGCTTACGAAAACATATGACTAGCTATCGCTTTCACCTATGAAGGTTTGGCTTATGACCTAAGGGGGACCAGACTGCGGCAGTGCCACTACTTCTACACAACACATTTCAAGTTCTTACTAGAACACCATTCTTCTTCGAAAGGGTTACATAATTTCAAGTATCCTCCCTCATCACGAATTCCACAACTCGTGATAAATTTCAAAATTGTTTAAAATCCAAGAAAAATCTTTGATTGGGACTTGAGGTGACTGCATTACGTATTGGATACTTCTCAACTATTTTATCTAATCTTTGAAGCAATTATCTTGTGCCTTTGGTGTTGAAACGTCGTTTGTAATATATTACAAGTTGTGAAATTTGTGGGGAGGAAGAGTAAGTCATTACTTCTATGTAGGAATATATTACCATTTACTATAAATATATGAAACATTTCATAACACCTCTGCAAGTAAACAAGTAAGCAAGCCGGCAAGGCCTTTCACAGCATACAAACAAGCAAGTAAACAACCAAGTAAAATTGTTTATAGCACCCAAACAAGCAAACAAGCCGGCAAGGCCTTTTACAGCACAGAGACAAGCAAACAAGTCAGCAAGGCCCTTTGCAGTACACAAATGAGCAAGCAAGTCGACGAGACCTTTAACAGCACCTGCGCAAAAAAAAAAAAAAAAATAAGTAAACCCTTATAAAGCATCTTTTTTTACGATTCTCACAACTGTGTAATTTCTTCCTTTAGATTATAATCAATTCCAAGAGCTTCTTCAGTTAGAAATAATAGTTTTATCTGTGAGTTGTATGTAAAATCAGCAGCCGTTCCGGAAGTGCGTGGCCCCCTCTAGTCTGTGCTGAATCGGCCGGGAGGAGCCTTGAGTACTCCAGAATTCCATGCATGGGGCCATAATGCATACCACTAAATTGAATAGGAGTAGAATGCAAGCGGCCAAGATGCAAGGGGCTAGATAAAGGCTGTGATTGCTGCGAGCCACAGGATAGTCCGGGCGTCTGCATAAGGCTGGGATTCTGAGAATACATGTAACCGCCGGTATTTCAGCTCACCTTTATACTGATAACTCATTGTCAGGTCAATAGCCTTGTAGGTGTGTGTATTAACTACAACCTAGAGTCCTGTTATCGGAAGGCGAAATAAGCTTTTTTCCGGAAGAACTTTCGAGGTCTATTCTCATTATTCTAAAGTTCATTTCCCTAAGTTATAGGTACTCTGAGGTTAACCCTATTTATAATTCGATACAATCCTCTATCCTCCGGGTTCGAGGTTACCCTCTAGTATTGATACGGTAATATATCTGTATAAAAGCCCGCAATGAATATCTCAGACTTCGGTTTCATGTTACGTGACTAGCGGTTAAAACTCATAGTGGGGCAGAAGCGGGTGATTTGAAAATGAGACCATAAAGATCATAGACATGCTAACTGCATTGAGAGGCCGGTTCAATTTAGTACTTTTGGGCGGGGTAGAACTGGCATTTGTGGGACTCACTATAGCATCTCTAAGTAGTATCGCGCTAGGTGGTATGGATAAAATTTATTTCCTTGTTTACTTTTAGATAGTACTGATGTGTATATATGTTTCTATCTCCTGTCTCCTGGTATCTCTTTGCTCGGTAACAAGCTACTATTTGCTACGCTCGCAGTCCCTTTCTTTCCATACTTTCGTCCAATCTTTGTCCAAGTCTGCATACAGAACAGAATGGCTACCGCATATGATTTTATCATTATTGGCGGCGGTACAGCTGGCCTGGTGGTTGCTTCTCGATTCAGCGAGGACCCCAGCCTATCTGTCCTGGTTCTTGAAGCGGGCGCCGACATGACAGCAGATCCTCGCGTGAACATCCCCATCTTTTATGCCGCACTCCTTGGCTCTGATGCCGATTGGAAATTCCAATCTTCCCCTCAGGTAAGAGCCGTCTCTGTCTCCAAAAAAAGAGTGTGCTAGAACTGATTCATCATTCTTAAAGCCGGGCCTCAATGGCAGAGTGCTTGGTCTCAACCAGGGCAAAACACTCGGAGGATCCAGTTCGTTGAATGCACACGTGTTTGTTCCTCCTTTCAAGGGAGCCGTTGACGCATGGGAGGAACTCGGTAATCCTGAATGGAATTGGACTATGTTAAAGGACTATTACTCCAAGGCCTATAACAGTCCGACCGTAGCACAGGATGCGAAAGAAAATCTGGCGATTGAGGATTGGCCTGGATTGAACGAAGCGAAAGGTCCAATCCAAACGTCTTTTGGTAACGAGACACACCCTATTCGCAGGGCATGGGCCGAACTGTTCCGCAGCAGTGGGCAATGCAATGCCGGTGATCCATTCACCCACAGCTCTGTGGGCTCATTCAGTTGCCTTGCTTCTATTGACTCGCAGGGTAAGAGAAGCAACTCTGCCTCGGCCTATTATAAGCCTGCTGAGCTTCGACAAAATCTCCATGTTCTTACGAACTCATTTGTTGAGAGAGTGCTATTTGATGAAGGCAAGGCCCCCAGAGCTATCGGAGTCGAGTACCGTCTCGATGGTGTCTCAAAGATTGTTCAGGCAAAGAGAGAAGTTATACTTGCTGCTGGTGTTTTTCAGTCACCTAAGATCCTCCAACTTTCAGGAGTTGGTAGAGCAGACCTTCTTGAACAGCATGGCATTGATGTAGTCATGGACCTTCCGGGGGTTGGGCAGAATCTCCAGGGTAGGTGGACAGTACCCAATCCAGCACCGGCTCTTGAAGAACTTGAAACCATCTCTCTTTTTGACACGGATACTCGCTTTGGGTTGAGAATTAACATCTACTATTTCTAGATCATATGATATCGTACACCGCATTCCAAGCAAAGCCTGAACTTGAGACCAAGGACTCTCTGGTCAGACAAGAGCCTGAAGCCATTAGTCAAGCAATGCAGGAATACGCCGCCACGCAATCTGGGCCCCTAGCATCACTCGGAGTTTATACCTACGCCTATTTGCCTCTTCCCGAACCGGACAGAACTGCTCTTCAGGCATTATTCACGAACGAGACCCCTGAGAACTCCCAGCACAGGGCAACACAAGCCTATTTTGACATCGCCAAGACCACCGTTCTTGATCCCAAGCAACCATCAGCTGCGTACCTGTCCGCCTTAGGGCAGACGAATTATTCCAAAGACCTCACGGACGGGACTATTCCAGCTGCTTCGCCTGGAAAGTTCGTCACGCTTGGAGTCATGCTCTCTCAACCGCTTTCCCGCGGAAGCGTTCGTATGTAAGTGATTATCCTTTTCTGTTTGCTGTTTCCCAGTTTGAGTTTGAGAGTCACTTTTTACTCCCAATCTTTCCCATTTCACATGCCACCCTCCCATACCTCTCGCCCCCTCACAAAACTGTATATCCATCAGATCTGACGAAAAGGGCCCAAGAACCTGCAACAACCCTGAGACGCCTCCAATCATTGATCCTGGGTACCTGTCGAATCCGCTCGATCTGGAAGTCATGGCACGACACTTGCTCCGTATCAAGAAATTGGCCGAGTCACCTCAGCTTGGGGAGCTGCTCGAACAACCACTGAAATTCCGAGACCCAGATGCAGACTTCCAGGGAGACTTGGATGCTGCAAAGAAGTATGCTCGGGACAATCTAGTCTCCATGTGGCACTTTGCGGGGACCTGTTCCATGCTTCCTCGCGAAAAGGACGGAGTGGTGGACCCCAATTTGAAGGTCTATGGTGTTGAAGGCCTGCGGGTTGTGGATGCGAGTGCTATCCCGCTCGTAAGCACAGCGAACCTGCAAGCTACTGTGTACGCATTCGCGGAAAGAGCCGCAGACCTCATCAAGCAGGACCGGGAGATCAGGTAAAGTAGGCATGAGAGATGCCTACACGCAGAAGATATGTGAAGTGGACAATGGACGAGGATGGGCGGACTGCCTAATCACCCAGGATTCTCACCTTCCGTCGCGTAATTCGCGGGTGATCGACTAGTCACGCTTCACTCCTCTCAGATTAACTTCACTATCTTATCCTCGAATACCTCTAGGGTCTGCAATTAACTACCGGAGACTACACTTCGCACACAATGTGGATCATTTTATGTTTCTCGAGTAGAACAAAACCCCCTCTTTTCCCTCCGTATACCATCCCGCGTCAAGATGGGAATACTTCGCCCTGCGACTTTTTTTACTTCGTCCGCTCAAGGGTTTACCACATCCATGGCATTTTTCGATGCTCTCGACTTGATAAGCCGCTCAAGTGGGAGATGAAACCCCGTTTTAGCTGTTTTGAGTGCTGATAGAGACAAGCATCTCAAGACTCCTAGTTGCGTTATACCAGATTTTAGTTGCGTTATACCAGCAAGCAAGACTGCCCTGACGAAGCACGTACAACCATTGAAACAATTCTCAACCAGATTTCATAAGAAGCTGCGAATTTCTCGTGTTGTGCTCCACTATTTCTTTTACCATTTTTCAACCACAATGATACGCAGTCGGGGGAACGGGGGAAACGAAATGTGGACCGACGCTAGTCCCGGTCTGGTGAGCGGGAACAATGGCGGGGCCGTTCTTAAAACCTAGTATCTATCGCATGGACCGTATACGTAGTTGGATTTTGATTTGAGAGCCAGTATAAAGAGGAAGCTGCCAGTCCTCCACCGCCCTTCCATCGGAGAAGAAATGCAAAGGACCTTTAACAAGCCTAGGGATAACAAACTCACGCCATGACCAGCATCGACTTGTCACCCATTCCCATTCCGCCCCCCACCCTCCTTCAACAAATCCGCACCTCCAAGCTCCGTCCCTTTGGTCCCGTTCTCTCCGGGATCGACAAGCAACCCCACCGTGGGCAAGTCTACGTCTCGACAATCGGCCTGGAGGACGACGAGCATGATCTGACTTTTCACGGGGGTATCGACAAAGCCATTCACCAGTACTGCGTGGATCACTATTCCTACTGGGCAGACCGGTTCCCCGCGCGCGACGTGCGCGCGCGCTTCGTGCCCGGTGGCTTTGGCGAGAACCTCGTCGCGGACGGCTGGGATGAGCGCGCCGTCTGTATAGGGGACTGGGTGCGCATTGGCCCTCCGGGCTCTTCCTGTACTGGCGGAAGCAACGGCTGCCTTCTGGAGGTCAGTCTGCCGCGCCAGCCGTGCTTCAAGCTGAATCAGCGCTTCGGGATCAAGAACTTCGCGCCGCGCACGCACCAGGAGGCCAAGACCGGATGGTACTACCGGGTCCTGGAGGAAGGATGGATCGAAGAAGGAATGGAGATCCGGATCGTTCGGCGGAGCCACCCGCGGTGGTCGATCGCGCGGCTGCACCACTACGTACACCGGAACAAGACGGACATGATGGTGACGCAGGAGCTCATGGCCATCAAGGTGATCGGCGACGAGTGCAGGAACGTGTTCGTCGACCGCTGGCGAAACCAGCAGGCGAAGGAGGCGGCGGCCCGGCGTCCGCCGGCACCATGGAGGAAGTTCCGGGTCACCAGCCATACGGCGGAAACGCCCCGCATCGTCCGCCTGGAGCTAGAAGCAGTATCCCCGAGATCCCCGAGGTCTGCGCCCACCGCCATCCCGCCCGGCAGCCATGCCCTGATCAAGCTTCCGAACGGCGTACGCCGCCCCTACTCCATCGTCCACGGCCACATGGATTCCTTTGTGCTGGGCGTGGCCCTCGACGAAACCAGCCGCGGCGGATCCAGCTGTATCCACCAGTCTCTCCGACGCGGGGATACGGTCGAGGTGGCGGAGATCACCCACGGCTTGCCCCTCGACAAAATGGCCTCGCATCATATCTTCATCGCCGGCGGCATTGGCATCACCGCCCTCCTGGCCATGATGAAACGACTCCAGGACACCAACCAGGACTACCACCTGCACTATGCTGTGCGCACGGCCACGGACGTCGCCTTCGCCACCCTGCTGGCCGACCTCGAGCCTCGGGTCACCGTGTACGACAAGTCCCAGGGCCAGCGCGTGGACATTGCCACCATCCTGCGCAGCCGGATCTGGAACAGCCACGTCTACGTGTGCGGGCCCCAGCGCATGATCGATGCCGTGGTTCAGACCGCCGCAGCGGTTGACATGGCTCCGGAGGAGGTGCACTACGAGCTCTTCCAAGGCGATACTACCTTCGGCGACCCCTTTACCGTGGAGGTCATCTCCCCAAACCGGAAGGCAGAGCTGCAGGTTGGCGCCGAGCAGTCGCTCCTCGATGTCGTGCGAGACGCGGGGTTCGAGATTGGTAGTTCCTGTGAAGTCGGCAACTGTGGCGCTTGCAGGATCCCCGTTCGCTGCGGAAGGGTGCAGCACCGGGGCACCGCCTTGACGGAATCGGAACAGAAGTCCGAGATGTTGGCGTGCGTCTCCCGTGGCATCGGTCACATTGTTGTTAAGGTCGATGATTAATTGAGCGGGCCAGCATCGGCTTTCAAATAAGAATTATGTTAAGAGCGGAACCGGGGGTGCTCGAGTGTTGGATGGGGAGCTATGTTCTTCCATGAAGCAGGAGACAATTCACAATTCTCGGTGCTTTGCTTTCCCGGTAAACTTTGGGATTTCGACTGTCAACGACAAGCTTACGGGGTGGCTGCACAGTTGGATATATTGACGAAAGATGTAGCTAAGCATTGGAAAAGAAATTCGGCTACTGTGACTAAAACTAATATAGATTAAGGCTCCTTTTTTTTCTTCTTCAGAAGTAAACTTCTATAATAGCTACTCTTATCCTAGCGACCTGTAAGAGGCAGGAATTGTAACATATATACCTTCTAGAATCGCCACACTGGTAGTGTCCAGGACCGATGCCGCCCACACCAGTCGCATTTTGCAGGCACCTTCGAGACTCGCCCTTGATATAGACATCCGACCACGTCGACCTGCTGTGGCCGCAGGTGCCGCATCTGGTGCCTGCCCAGCACACTCTAACCCATAAGAGTATATATATGATCTCAACTATGTCACAATTCCTACAACGTCCGAGAGAAGTAGTGGAGGAGAGGGAAACAAAAAGGAAAAAACATACAACAGAAGGGATTCGCTGGTGGTCACCCACCCAACTACTAACCTCCCGGCGTGTGGCTTAAGTACGGCTGAGCGGACGGGAAGCCCTGTTTTCCACACCCTGTGGTCGTATGTACCGACTATCCAAAGGGAATAAAAAATATCCAATAACTGCCAGACGGAAAGGGCAAGGGACTCGCAGAATCACTCTTTTTCGAGGCAATCGGTCGGTCGTCGGACCATGGCTCCCCCCCTCCCCCATCCGACAGAAATTTCCTTGAATCAAGTCTTGAAGCACATAATTCTATGCATTTCCCGCTCTTAGCTACCAGGTTGGAATATATATATCCGTACTCGGTGGGGATAGAGCCTGACTTACTCGTTTGGTCAGGGATTGGGGCGCCGGGGCGATCGCATCTATGACATCTCAACCTAAAAATCTGAACCCGGAGAAGAAGAAATCAATAAGAAATAATGCACGTCCCGCAATATAGACGTTCATAGTAGCAGCGAATTGACTGGGGAATGATCACAGTCCCTGCAAATCAAGAAGCGCATTTCTAAAATTTCTATCGTGTGAACAGGTGCAAATGCCTATCCTTGGTCGGAAGTATATATCTCTCGTCACATCGCGCTCTGAAAACAAATGCCTGGCTGATTGTATGATATGGGGCTTGCAACGCACTGGATGTTTCTCATTGCAGAGCTTGAATACTGCCCATCAAGCATCTTGATTACTATTCATATACACTGTAGCGATGAATTGCCTACCCACAAGCTGCACCTACCTTCTGTCGACTCTCAGTGCCTATTATACAATGTCTTGGCGCTGGTACACATCCCTGGGGTTGACAGCCCTACTGTTGGGCTGAGGTCAACTGCTTTATGTGGTCATGGTTTATCCCAAGCCGACGTGCTGAAATTCACTCTCTTGGAGATGCGACGTGATGTAGCGACCGAGGGTCAGCCTATGCCCAGAGAAAGCCACGGGAGCTGTGACCGTGGACGGGAAGTAATATTCTCCCACCCGCACTATTCGTGTTCGCCAGCACGATCAGTCGCAGGCATCTTGTGCACACTCTACGGCTAACATCTTTGCTTGAATGCTAATGGAAAGGCAATTTTTATGCAGTAAGAACCGTGCGATTGGAAGTAGAAAACTCGCGGCTCTGCAGAGCAAAAGACATAAATCGACAGAAACAGAAACCTAGACCTAAAGCAAGGGCCAAAAACCACACTCGGAAACGATCGATCAGAAACTTAAACAAGACAAAGCCCCCTTGCAAATCTCTCCTCCATCTCTTCTACCACGTCTCTCAGCGGAAACAAACCACCCATGCGCGGCCTCTAAAAGTCCTTGAGGTAGTCACCGATAAAGTGCTTGAGGATATCCTCGACCTTGGAGACGTCGGAGTATCCGAGGCTGATGACGAAGTCGGCGCCCTTGGAGCCCAGGGAGGTCAGGGTGTTCTCCATGAAGCGGTGCTGGGAACGTGTGAGCTTATACAGAGTGCAGATGCCTCCCCATTGGGGCAAAGCCTTGATTGAGGGATACCCACCTGATAGGGCTTGTTGGACTTGTCGTGGTAGACCAGGAAGCGGTTGGTCTGGTCCTTCTTCTGGCCGTACTGGAACTCGTCGCTGACGACGACGGTGAGGTCGTCGCCGTCGACCTTGCGCGACTTCAGCTGCTCGAGCTTGCTGGCCTGCACGAAGATGACGCCCTGGTCGCCAGCTGGAGGGATGGGGGAGTTAGTCTGTTACTAGCGTCGGTGGCATGGAGCAACGGCTCTGAGACGGATTGAAACATACAGGTGGTCTTGTTGGTCCACTTGCAGATCCAGTAGTCCTCGTGACGGTCGCGGAAGGTCTGCTGCCACCGGACGGTGATCTTCTTGCCCTCAGCGCCGCCGAGGAACTGGGTGGGGATGGTGATGGTATTTCCCTTGGAGACAGGCATGGTGAAGAAGTGAGGATGGGATGGTAGATCAAGGTGTCTGAAGAGAGTAGGTTTGAGTAGTTGAGAGGATGAGATGGAAGCTGTTGTTGATGAAAGACTACCCAATGCCGGGGAGTTTCCCCATAATATAGAGCCATCATTCAGCTGGATTGAGAGAATGGCGTGCTGGGGAGTCGGCGATGCCGAATCGCACCATGTGTCCCTCGTCGTCGACTTGGAGCTGCAGGCAAGTCAACCCGAGTCGTTGCCTGGAAGGGAGATGGACACAGAGAGCGCAGCTGAGGTTCAGCCGCAATTCAGCTGCGCCGTGTCGTGAAGCTATCGTGGGGATTGCGGGTCAAGGAAAGTATAGACGACATGGGATCTTGGATGGGGGATCGGTGGTTACTGCCCGGGCCGGTGCCAAGATTCGGGGGGCGAACCCTAGCGATCGGCAGCAATTTCAGGCGAGCATCACTGGGGCAGCCCGGACACCTTACCCTAACCGGGGGACCGCCGTGCGAACTACAGACCCACTTCTCCGGCCGGACGATCGAGACCAGGTTTCCCCTCGCCAGAAGACCGTACCGCCACTGTGGCTGGTCAGTCGGACGGCCATTCTTCAGGCAAGCCCCCCAGCCAAAAACGGTCATACATGCCGACAGTGACTCGCACAATCGGCCGTGCCGTTCGTGAGGACCTGCCTCGGCTCTGACTTGCCTCCGTGGGGTCACAGCTGCAGGAACCATTGGGGTAGAAAGTGCCGACTTGCTTCTTGGCGCTGGTCAATGGTCAGCTGCACGGATCTAGCGTCGGTGCATGCACCAACATGCGTGGATATGGGTAGCCGAGCCCATGTGGTCGCCTTGCTACTCGAGAGAATCGGTATCCATGCTTGCAAATCAATCGCTGCGCCCCTCGAGCGTAGGTGCTGCTCTACTGAAACGCGTCCGGTAAGCGAACACCGGCCAATCCCCCCTGAGCGAGACAGGAGTTGCAGCAGCAACGGAGGCAGTCACCCGATGTCGCAGCGTTATAAACCACACCACAGACCGGTCAAAAATCCACACCAGACGAAGAAGTTCTCGAGCCCCAGACAATCCCCAACAGCGTCATGGCGGGCGACGATATCTGGGAGGATGAAATCTTCGCATCCGTGGCTCGTGACCGGTCCAACCCTACCTCCCGCTCCTCCTCCACCGTATCCCCCGCCGACCAGGCCGCCCCCTTCTTCCAGTCGGTCGGCGACGTCAGCCTCAGCGACGCTCACGTCGCCGCAGCCGGAGAAGAGGGCGAGCCCAAATTCACCGGCTGGGATGGGTTCTGGTCGGATCCGCTCTTCGAGAATGTCGCCGGTCGGCGCGACCGCGCCGCGGGGCAGCAGGACCGCGAGTTCTGGAAGTATGAGCTGGACGAGGCTATCCCGCTGTCGAGTCTCTTTCCCTCTCTCGACTCCGACGCGTGGAACGAGCTGCGGTTCCGCAAATCGGCCGTCGAGTTCTGGTCGCGGCCTATTGGGACGGAGCCCGCCGGGCTGTACCTGCGCACCGAGATCGAGCTCAATGGAGCGCTAGACGGCGTGTTCCAGGTCTTCCGGACCGTCCTCGGGGAGGCGGTGCAGCCCGTCCTGCGTCTGTCGGCCTATCTCGGAGTGACGATGGAGCAGGATCAGACCCTGGCCATCGACGGGGTTTCCCTGTCCGGCAGCTTGATCGGACTGCGGACGCCCCTGCCCCCGGTGCTGGAGCTGGTCACCATCCTGTCGGTGGGCTTGCGCCTCAACGTGGGCAGCACGACCAATGTGGTTGGGGAGACCAGCACGGTGCAGACCGGCGTCTTTGGCGATCTTCAGATCCAGTTACCGGGCCTGACGGGGTCCTTGCAATTGGAGTATGAAGCGGATCTCTCCGAGGATTGGCTGGAGCTCAGTATGACCATCCCGGGCAACAAGAAATGGGAGAACGCGCTGGGAGCAGACTCGTTCCATGTGAGACGATCCCGAGACCTGACCTTCCGTAAGAGTTTCCAAAGCTAACACCCCGCACTCACCAGCTGGACGAAGTCCGATTCTTCGCAAAGATACCTCTTCACACAGCCGCCCCAGCAGACACAACAACCACCTCTGGGGATATCAGCTCTGATGTTATCGCTCGCCCCGACCCGCAAGCCCTGCTTTCCATTGCCGCAACAGCCAGATGGAAAGGCTCCGACGGGGCAGATGTTGGCCTGAAAGGAGTGATTGTCAAAGGACGACCCGGTGAGTCTAAATTGCATCTAAGCCTGGTTTGCCGCAAAATCTGATGTTCAGTCAGATCTCTCGTTTCTGGAAGGCCATATGGAAAAGGTCACGTGGTCCGACATTAAGCGCCTCTTCAGCGATGTGCACGGCCGAGATCTCGACGACACCGAGCATGAGATTACCTGCGAGAATCTCACGGTGCGGATCTCGCAGGCTCAGTTCCTTCTGCAGGGGTCCTTGACGATCAATGGTCGAGCGCTGGCCAAGGCCACGATTGCGATCACGCGGGCAGGCATTGCCATCACGGCCGAGGTGGACAAGTGGGAGGTTGGCGACGGCCTCGTGGTCATCGAACAGGCCGCACTGACCTTGCTGGTGGGCAGCGGCGGCGACAAAGACAGCGGTGCTCCGCGTCAGCCGGAGGATGAACCGCCCACTAAGAAACGGCGGACTACCGGCGGTCCGGAGAAGGAGAAGAAGGGATGGAGTGGGTCCTTGGAGGTGACCGGTCGAGTGCTCATCCACACCGATGGACAGCAAGGCAAGAGTGGACAGCCGCCGGTAGAGGTGGATGTTACGCTGGCCATGGGCAAACAGAACCAGGAGTGGTTCTGGGTGGTGTGCGGCCACCTGAAAGCCGATCTCTCCTTGAGTCGGTTTGTGTCGGCCATCGACGAGGACTCGGACATCGATCTGCGTCTGAAGGAGATTTCCTTGATTGCTTCGAGCACGAACCGTCCGGCTTGTAGTCTGGACACAAATGGCTATACCATCCAGCAAGGCAGGTTATCCCTCACACGTTCTGCCCCCTTGCGAGGTGGAGACTAACGGCACTGTCGTGAGATTAGGGTTCTATCTTTGTGCCAGGTTAGAGCAGGTACCGCTGCTGCAGATGGGCGACATGGTGAAGAAGCCCGCGGCGGGAGATCAATCGTACCTCAGCCTGGGCTGGGCTAAGGGGTCTAGCATTCCTTCCGTGTCCATCTACTTACCTGAGTCATTGAAGGTAAAGTGTTCCACATTGCTGCCCTGGTCCATGGGAGAACCTGAGGTGCATTAAGGCTAACACAGTGGTTATGCGGGTAGATCGAGCTGGGGCCTCGGTTCCGGTCTCGTCGCTTCCAGCTTTCCCTGGGTAGCTCCGCGACCGGCGGGGTGGCGTTCGCATTCCGCGGCATCTTCGACGTCAAGGTTGGCGACGACAACAGCTGGTACAAGTTTGACCTGAAGATGGCCGTGGATCCGATCGGTGCGGATGGCGAACTGTAAGCATGCGAACCTGGATGTCCCAGTGCCATGGATAACCCTAACCCTTTTTGCCATTCTAGCTTCTTCGACGGCAATATCAATAATCCGTTCGGCCTGTGCAAGCGATTGACGATTGGTAAGCTCATACTGTTTCTTTGTCTTTGAAAATGTGATGGACCAGCAAGCTCACCAGACCTTCTCTACTTTCAGGACCACGACTGGGCATCGGACTGAAGTTCAACTGGGCCCAATTAGCCGCCTCGGGTCTGCCTGTCGGAGCTGGCATCAAGGGAAGCCTCTACCTGGATGACAACGTAGACAAGCCCTATGACCTGGTGCTCTATATCTGCGAGGATCCGCGTGACATGGTCATCAAGGCCGAAGCCCCGGCAATGGACTACACCGAGATCATCCAGTTCGTGGCCGCAGCGATGGATACCCAGATCCCGACGACCGACGTGACACTCTTCCGCTTCCAGGACGTGCTCATCTACGCCAGCATGGGGGCCACCTTTGGCGGAGAACACTATCCGGCTGGCTTCCGTTTCAAAGGCGGGCTGACCATTTGCGACCACGAGGCCGCCATGGACGCGTCCCTGACCACGGAGGGTCTGCGGCTCAAGGCGTGGCTGCAGACCTTCCGACTGGGGCCGCTCAGTGTCGGCGGAGATGTGGTCCTGCCGGGCAAGGAGGGGACCTTCGCGCTGCTGGACATGGAGCTGACCCGGGAACGGCAGGCGTTTGTGCTGAATGGGTTCGTGGAGCTCTTCGACCTGCGCGCGGCGGTGGACGTGCATATCCAGCTACTGCCCGCCCCGATATTCTACTTCACCTTCGAGATGCAGTGGAGTACCTTGCTGGCTATCAAGGCCAAGGCCGAAATGATCGGGGGCACCAAGCTCATGTGCAATCCCCGCGAGGCCAGCTGGGAGGTCAGTGCCGAGTTCGAGCAGACAATCATCCAGGAGATGGCCCGCAGTTTGGAGCGAGCTCTCAAGGCCGTGCACGAGAAGGTCGAGGCCAAGATCAACGGTGCCAAGCAGGCGGTTGCGGACGCGGAGCGAGTCTACAAGGAGAAGATCGCCAAGGCACAAGCAGCTTTGGAAGAGGAGCGGGCCAAGTACCAGGCCGAGAATGACCGACTAGACCAGGAGTTGGATCGTCTGGAGCGGGAAACGCAGGCCCGGTCTGCCGTCCATCGCGACGCGGTCTTCAAGAAGAAAAAGGAGGAGTCGTCCGCCGTGGCAGAGGCCGAGACCGTCCGCGACCACACCATCCACGAGGCTAGTGCGGAGGTCCAAGAGAAGGAACGGGCCTTGAACAACGAGGAATCGCGGGGAACCAGGGAGCACAACGACGCCATCTCCGACCGTGAACGGAGGAGACAAGAATTCATGGCCAAGTTTGGCGATGCCGAAGCGGCCGTCCGGCGCGCGCGGGACAACGTGGCCAATGCCAAACGTAAGTGGAATGCTCGCCCGGTCTCTCTAGTGTATTAAACTCTAACCCGGTCTTTCCACTACTCAGGATCGGTCGAGAATCTGCGCAGTCAAATTGACAACCTGGAAAACAGACTCAGTGGGCTGCGATGGTTCCAAAAGGCCCTCGCCTTGGATACAGTGCGTCTTACCCTAGCCTCCTTCCTGTTTGCCCTCTTGCATCTCACTGATGCTTTCTCGCTCGCTCCCAACAGCACCTTCAGATCGCCGCCCTCGGGATCCAGTATGGAACCGCCAAGGTAGGTCTCGGAGTGGCGGACGGCGCCCTCGAGCTAGCGCAGAAGATCATGCAATCTCAACTATTCCACGACCTCACCCAGGCCCTGCACCACGCCTGCGAAGCGGTCGAAACGATCAAGCGGCAGGTGGACAACGCCATCAACGCCGCGCGGGACCACCTGCACAACGCGCAGAAACTGCTGGATGTCGCCAAGTCCGCCGCGCAGGGCAAGTTCGACGAGGCCCGGCGGCAGGCGCGCGAGATGGTGGACACCGCGCAGAAGATCCACGACGACTACGTGGAGAAGCAGGAAAAGGAATCGAAGAAACTCCGCATTCAGTTGCAGCAGCTAAAGAATAGTGGACTGAGCGCGGGGGTGTCGCTCGCTGAGGGAGTGCTGGAGGCGGCGAAGAACAACAATGCGGCCTTCCTCGCGGCGCAGGCCGGCCTCGATGCCGTCAAGGTCGTCGAGGGCGCCATCTACGACACGCTGCGCACAATGATCGAGGCCGCAGCGACCCTGTGTGATATCCGCGTGGTCAGGCTTCGGGGCACCATCACCGCCAAACCGGAGGAGCAGTCCGCTTTCCAGATCTATCTGGAGGGCACGCTGGTCGGACAGGATTTCAAGTTCGATCTTGTGTACTACCCCGGCAAGACGATTGAGTTCTTGGAAGGATTGGCCAAGGAGGCAATGGGGCACCTGAAGTTGACTTAGTGCTTGCGCTGAAGCGGGGACTGCGAAGGACCATTTCTGTAATTATCATGCACTGCTCTTTGTAGATTAGTACGGCAACAGGATAAATTATTAGCTTATTGCTATGTGTTTTCGCACCACAGTGACTACTATTAAAGGTTGGGCTAGTTGGACAACTTCTTAGGTACCAATGGTGAGTGTAATAAGTTTCACGAAAGGGCCGTCGAGAAAGGTAACAGACGAGAATGGGAAGCAGCGGCAACTTTACTACTTCATTATAATTATTATTGGACTGAGAGAGTTGATTTTAAATTATCTAGACCTAAAGTAGATAGTCTTGATTTAGTATTATAGCTTAGCACCAATAGTACATCATTCATTTTGTACTAAATATTATCTTTGAATTAGCTCTGAAGAAAAATCAAGCAACCAGCCACTTCTCAAAAGAAAAGATGACAAAATTCTTGTATATCTAAGATAATTATTCGTCTTTTCATATGATAGACTGATTTTGATCAGAACGTTCCTTCCCTCTTCCGCGCCATTGACGGCCGCATCTTGCGCCGGGAGCCCATCCTACCCGCAAAGCGCGAATGGACCTGGGACAGATCACCGAAGCCAATCAACTAAAAGCTCGAGTCCTCCAGGGTGAGGACATCTACGATACAACGGGTGCAGCCAATGTGACGGACGAGATTGTCAGGGTCCAACAGACCCTCTCCCCGCTGGTCCCCAGCGACGTCCCCATTCTCCGGTGCGTGGGCCTCAACTACGCCAAGCACAGTACGTTACTCATTCTCCTTCGTGATTTACCCCCCTACTTCACAAGAGAATAACACAGAGCCATCTCCGCGATCGACAGTCAAAGAAGCAGGACGCAAGCCCCCACCCTTTCCCTTCATCTTCTTCAAGCCGAACACCTGTGTATAGGACCACGGCGAACCCATCGCGATGCCGCCCATCGCCCAGATGACCAAGCAGACTACGAGTAGAAGTTGGGTAGTATTTGTTATTTTATTTAATTATTCGTGTTAACAGGTTGTGTAGTGTAATGGTTAGCACCCAGGATTCTGATTCCTGTAATCCCGGTTCGATCCCGGGCACGACCTCGTCTTGACTCATTTCCACGGTTGTGTAGTGTAATGGTTAGCACCCAGGATTCTGATTCCTGTAATCCCGGTTCGATCCCGGGCACGACCTTTTGTTTTTTCTTTCTTTCATTAATGTTGCATGTCAAATCCCTATCGAGTCTAATGATGGTGGCAGATCGGGAACTTGCGGAAGACTGTTGCTTTCAAGTCGAGCTGAGAAGGACAGGCCCAGACTATTCTTAAACTTGAAGATACTAAGTATTATGATTCGGTATTATGGACAAATAGACTAGCGCGTACCACATCACATCTCCCGCGTTTTCTCTGTTGCCTGCTTTCTTTTCTCTTTTCCTTTTTTTCTTATTTTTACCTCCTAGGGAGGGGTCATTTTTGTTCTGCTTTGGCAAGTATAAGCTCCATGGCCATATATTCTCCTATCATAACCGATCCCGCTGCCACAGCAGTCACTCAGGGTTGTTGCACCGTCTATCCAGACTCTATCTAGGTGATTGGTTAGATCCCGCCGAGAATTCGCCTCGAGCTGGGAGACTTTGTTGCGCGACCTGAGGGTGGAGTAATATTCATCTCGTAGTACTACATGGGTTTCTGCTATATCACTTTTTCGTTATGCCAACTCTTAAAAAGCGATCAGGATTAGATGGGCGGCCAGGTTGGACGGGCGAGCTATGTCAAGGTCGATGTGCAGGATAGCTGATATGAGATCCACGGACGGCTCTTATCGATGGGTGTCCCGCTTGGCAACCCATTTCAGCCTTGAAGTGTGCGCTAAGGATGCTATGCTACTGATATTCAAGAGATCATCAGAGGCCGAACTGGAGACTGGTCGCATTATAATGTTGTCTTCCTGTCTTCATGACTGATATATCTAGCCTGTTTAGCTGATTCTGTGGATGTGATGCGGCTGCCATTGTACGGCAATATTGGTTGGTTCACCACCAAGCACAAAAATTTATCGGGGACCCAAGCTCGAACATAAAAGCTTAACCGAAGACATGAACAATGCGGTGTGTTTACGAGAGTAGCCGTTAATGCAGGCTCAAGCGACCATTCTAACCACAATTTGAGAGGGCGATAAATTTCAGATACTACTTGAAATCTGTATAAAGCTCTCCGGAACAATTGACGGTCTTTATCACGAAACATAGAATGCAAGTCAAGCTCTTAGAACACTATATTCATCCTGTTGTCAATTTGAACTACACAGTAGAGCCCTCGGAACGTAAAAGAGAAACTAGTTTATATAATCTCAGATCTGCCGGTGTTAATCCAACTCATGATTGGCATTCGCGGAAGAGCTTCACATCTTACTGTGTAGAGGAAGCGGTAGAGGCAACTTTAGAGCGGTGATAAACAGCTGCCACCAGCCCACATCTACGTTCTGTAGGCAGCTGGCTATGTACAACTGTACGAGACTACTAGTAATAAATTCACACCAGCCAATAAGATTGCCAAGCAAGTAGGGCATGCAAGGTTATCTCCGTGCAACCTCCGTGCAGAATCACGCGTCGGCGCCAACTGCGCGCACATGGGAGTGATACCCCGCTTTTCGCCCTCGATTCCTATTCTCACGGGTGAATCCAATCGACTACAGCCTACGAGAACACCTACCTCTTCCCCCCTACGAGTTACAATCACAGAGACTATAGCACAAGAGACATCCACCGAGAACAAGATGACCCTGCCCGAACCGATCACGACCGCCGCCCTCGTCCTCCACGAGCTCCACGGCCCCCTCGTCTGGGAAACCCTGCAGATCCCCTCGCTCGCGCCCGACGAGATCGCCGTCGACATCCACGCGACGGGCATCTGCCACACGGATCTGATGCTCATGAGCGGCGAACTACCCAGTCCCCAGCCGGGGGTCTTCGGGCACGAAGGTATCGATCCCCTCGTCCCTCTCCAGTCCCAATAAACCCCCCTTTCCCAGAATCCCCCAAACAACCCCCCCTCACCCATTAAACCCCACCAGGAGCAGGAACAATCCGCCAAACCGGCGCAGCCATCACGCACTTCCGCCCCGGTGACCACGTCCTCCTCTCCTTCGACTTCTGCACGCACTGCGCCAACTGCACCGCCAAGCACCCGGCCTACTGCGCCGCGTTCGCGCTGCTCAACACGGCGGGCCACCGCGCCGACGGCTCCTCACCTTTACAAACCGCAACCGGCGGAGCAGTCTACTCCAAGTTCTTCGGGCAGTCGTGCTTCAGCCGCGTCGCGGTTGTCGGTGGCCGCTGCGCGATTCCTGTTTCTTCGGGGTTGGATCTGAGGGTGCTGGCGCCGTTGGGGTGCGGGATGCAGACTGGGGCCGGGGCGGTGGTGAATGTCCTGCGACTGCGGGCTGGACAGAGCGTTGCGGTGTTTGGGACGGGGGCTGTGGGGTTAGCGGCTGTTATGGCTGCGAGGATTGTGGGCGTGGAGGTGATTGTTGCGGTGGATGTGAGAGAGGAGCGGTTGCGGGTGGCAAGGGAGCTCGGGGCGACACATACTGTTAACCCTGCTGCGCTGCAAGAGGGTAATGGGGTGGTTGGGGCGATCCAGGCGGTGACGGGTGGATTGGGAGTGCAGTTTGCCGTCGAGTGCTCGGGCGTGCCGGCGGTCGTGCCGCTGATGCTGGCGGCGCTGCGGGCGCGCGGGCGCGCGGTCTCGGTGGGCGCGGCGGCGATCACGGAGGAGGTGCGCTTCAATCTGTTTGCGCATCTGATGGGCGGGAAGGAGTATGTGGGTTGTATTGAGGGGGATGTCTATCCGCCAGAGGTATGTTGCTCTGTCTGAGTGAGGGGGAGCAAAATGAATAGTAGTGAGGCTGACGGTGTAGTTTGTGCCATGGCTGGTCGAGCGGTATGCCCACGGCGAATTCCCCGTCGATAAGCTGGTCAGGGTGTACAAGGTCCGGGATTATGAGGAGGCGTTTGCTGATGTTCGTGAGGGGAAGGTGATTAAGGCGGTGCTGGATTGGACGGAGTAAGCCTGTGTATCGCGAGGATGGCAATTTGCGTTGAGTCGAGTACAATCCCCAGCTGAAGGGTGAACGGTTGGCAGTGTGAGAGAGTTGATTCGGGGTTCTGCGCAGGTGGCATGATTCGGATGCCACCCACGGGATTTGATGATGATACGAGGGGAGGTCTGACAGACATGGCGGTGATTAGTGATTATGTATGTTGCTTCCACCTACTAAGATAGTCCTGTACAGTACTCCGCAGCTTACAGCCCAGCCCAGCCCAGCCCAGCCCTAAGTCCAGGAATAGCTTGCATATATCTACTTCCGTGAATTCCCGGCCGGGCACAACGGCCCCGTTGCCTCACTGCGGGCCGGGATTTGAGTCTAATCAGGTGAAGAACCCAGGAAACCCGCCGCAGTGGAGTCAAGTGCGGGGCCATCATCACTCTGCAGATCGTCACATCATTTTTAAAATCGAAGACTACTAATCATTCACCTTCGAGAACCCGTCGATGCGCCGCGCCCGACGGGCTTGTTTCATCCACCCATGCCCCACTGGCTTCTCCGCACTACCAAACCCCGGGTCATGGCACGATATCGCGACTGATACTGCGCTGCATACTCCCCACGTACGCTGCTGTCAGCAGAACCCGATTCCGTGTGAGCCGGATGGAGTGAGGATGGAGGACTTTGTTGAGATGAGTCGATCGGGGTGACGATACAGTGCCCTGCGAGGGTATAAGAAGGCCGTTGTGTCGCTGTCCATCTCCTCCATCACCAACAGAATCAAGCATTACAACCATCCAACAAACCCAGCAAAAGCATCACTGCTCTTCGCATCAACCTCTTCAACCATCACCATGGCCCCCGTTCTCAAGAAGTACAAGGCTGCCGCCGTCAACGCCGAGCCCGGCTGGTTCAACCTGGAGGAGTCGACTCGTCGGACCATCCACTGGATCAACGAGGCCGGCAAGGCAGGCTGCAAGTTCATCGCCTTCCCTGAGCTCTGTCCGTTCTCCCTCCTCCTTCCTCAACACCACAACCCACTAACCAACCACCCCAGGGATCCCCGGCTACCCCTACTGGATGTGGAAGGTGACCTACCAGGAGAGCCTGCCCCTGCTCAAGAAGTATCGGGAGAACAGTCTGGCGTCGGACTCGGAGGAGATGCGGCGGATCCGCGAGGCGGCGCGGGCCAACAAGATCTTCGTCTCGCTGGGCTACTCGGAGCTGGACCTGGCCAGCCTGTACACGACGCAGGTGATGATCTCGCCCGCGGGCGAGATCATCAACCACCGCCGCAAGATCCGCGCCACCCACGTCGAGCGCCTGGTCTTCGGCGACGGCACCGGCGACACCACCGAGTCGGTCATGCAGACCGAGATCGGCCGCCTCGGCCACCTCAACTGCTGGGAGAACATGAACCCCTTCATGAAGGCCTACGCCGCCTCGCTGGGCGAGCAGGTCCACGTCGCCGCCTGGCCCCTCTACCCCGGTCGCGAGACCCTCAAGTACCCCGACCCGGCCACCAACATCGCCGAGTCCAACTGTGATGTACGTCCCCCGCTCATTCTTCTCCTCTCCAGAAGATCATCCCCAAGTAAAAGTCAAAGGATATTCATACTGATCAGATGCCCCAGATCGTCACCCCCGCCTACGCCATCGAGACCGGCACCTACACCCTCGCCCCCTGGCAGACCATCACCGCCGAGGGCGTCAAGCTCAACACCCCCCCGGGCAAGGAGCTCGACGACCCCAAGATCTACAACGGCCACGGCCGCATCTTCGGCCCCGACGGCCAGAACCTCGTGCCCCACCCTAGCACCGACTTCGAGGGGCTTCTGTTCGTCGATGTACGTATCGTCTACCTGGTTTCCAAACAGAATTCCCAGACTAACCCAAAGGTTCAGATCGACCTCGACGAATGCCACCTGTCCAAGTCTCTTGCTGACTTCGTAAGTTTCGCTGCACTTGATTTGACATGGAGCGCAGGCTAATCGATTTGCTAGGGCGGCCACTACATGCGCCCCGATCTGATCCGCCTGCTGGTGGACACCAACCGCAAGGATCTGGTGGTGCGCGAGGACCGTATCAACGGTGGGGTCGAGTACACCCGCACCGTCGATCGGGTCGGATTGTCCACCCCGCTGGATGCCCCTGCCCCTGCTGAGGAGAACTAGAGGAGAGCTAAGCCGGCTTAGATGAAGCTCCCCACCCTGTATTATATTGATTAGAAATTGATTTCTGTTGTTCGTTCCATCGATCTGATTTTGAACATGGCTTTTTGTAATTGACCATTTTGACTGCAACGGGGCACCTCACATTAAACTCCACGTTCGCCGACAGACGCCTCAGGCAACGAGGCATCAGGACACAATACCTAATAAAACCTACCCCCCCAAAACGACACACTCCTCAAAAACAACCCCCATCCGTCGACAATACCCATGAAAAACAAGACAACTGATCGACTGACTATTATACGCCGTGACCTTGGGCGACCCTCCGCCATCGTCCACCGGCTGCGTCACGGCAAACACATCCCGCCCGACCGCCCTCTGCCGGTTGATCGCTTGCACCACGCTGAGGGTCTGGTACACAGGGAACGCGCCTTCCTCGGTCGGCTGCAAATCCAGTAGCCTCTGCAACCATTGCTCGATCGCCAACCCGGTCGACAGACTCCGACACCGTAGGATACCCGCCAGCAGCAGGCCAGTGAATCCGATGGTGTAGCTGTTGCGCGTGAGGGAGGTCTGCATGTCGGTTCCTTGGGCGATGCGGACGAGAGTCTGGACCCATACATCTTCCTCGTGGGGCTCGTTGTCAAGGAAGGTTGAGTGCGGGCTCTGCAGGAGGGCGAGAAAACTACTGCATTGCATGATGCGCGCTACGACGTGGTATGCGTAGTTCAGTGCTGCATCGTGAGAGGAGAAGTGGATGGTCGGGTTGCCTGTCGGGTCAATGGGGCCGTAGATGGGCTGCTCAGCGGGCGGGAGGTGCGCGAGCCACTCGTCTAGTGTGGCAGCCTGTTGGTGGAGACGCGAGATGCACGTCGCTGGATCTTCTTCGGTTCTCCGTGGCTTTATCTGACCCCGAGAGTACTGAAACGCAGCATTGAAGTTCAGGCGATGGGACTCACACAGGATGCTCAACGCCAGGACCCGGCGCCCGTGGGGAGTGTGTGGTAGATTCTTAACCAGCGAGACGGGCAAAGGGATGGACGGCAACTGCTGATGGATCTCCACCGAGCTGAAGTAGGCGCGAGCCCACCAGACCACGTACCGGATTTGCATCCACGAGGTGAGGAGCGATCTGATGGTTGGGTCTGCGACGCCCTGTCGCCACTCCAGGAGATTCATGATCCCCTGCACGTGGCAGCAGAAGCCCTTGAAGTTACCCATGGCTGATTCGAGGTGCGCGAACAATACCAGCGTCGTGAGAATGACTGTGTTATTGTGATGAAAATCGGCCAACGTCAGGGCGGCGAGTCTCCTGATCGCGGAGGAGTAATACAGATGACTCGCGGTCTGGTGGGTTAGGCTCGGACTCCACGGGCCCATCAATGCTGTCGCTGATACTTTGCGCTCGCCGCGAAGACGGCTGATATTGCAGGATGACAGAGCAAGCACCGCGTCTCTGATGATCGGCATGTCGGGGATCAGGAGTGTGCTAGAGTGGAAGACGGGGTGTAAGGCTGGTAGACAGCGGTCCTCCCAATAGGTGGTGTAGAAGACATCCCGCTCCGTCGTCTGCAGGGATTTGACCAGACTGTTGGTTCCGATCCGGAGCCTCTGCTCGTTTTGGATGCTGGACGCCTGGTCACCAGCCAGCTCTTGTGCTGTCGCATTGGACGGGGCTCCATCCTGGGACGGGGATCTCGAACTCTGGCCGGTCAGGATCTGGAATCTAAGTCCGGGTTTCAAATATTCACATCCCTTCCCCAATCGTACGCAGGTCCCACATGCTGGCTTCTGCTCATCACACTGGATTCTCGATTAGTGCTGTCATTGGGAACGGTGATGCTATGGCAAATCAACCTTGGTCCTGCGCTTGCGACAGCTAGTACAGCCATCGCGCGAGCGTATGATATCGGTTTTCTTTGGTCTAGGCGGTGCAGGCTTGTACATGGGTCATCTGCAAGACCTTATCTCGATGATGCGATGAATCTGTGAAAGTGCGATGCTGACGGGTGACGGAGTCAAAGTGCGTTGTCAGAAGTGGCAACGACCAATCACGTGGCTTCCAAATGTGCTCAACCGAGCCGTACCGCAGCCGATTGAAGCTAAGCCTAATCTGGCAGCCATAGTTCTAGCCCGCGAGTCACCATGATCCAGCACTGGACACATAGGCGGCTCGAGACTGTTTTCGCAAAGCATATTCCAATGCGTATTGCATATTAATCCCTCCTATCTTTCAGCTTTAAAGCAACCTAGTTCTAATCACTGGAGGAATATACCGTTCCGGGGGAGAACCCCCGGACCCCCCTTTCTTTCAGCTTCCCAGTAAAGCTCATGTGTAGTGAGCATCGAAAATGTGGCGTGTTACTCCCAGAGATTGGGCCTGAGATTGAGATGAGTACCTATGAACTGGTACGGCAAAGCTTTCCATACATCCAAACCACACATAGTACGCAAAACATGGCGCCAACCCTAACTCTATAAGTAGACAATACAAACAATAACGCAAACTCCAGATACCCCAAGAATCCCACAAAACTACAACCCCTTCACCCTATCAACCATCTCCCCCCTCTCGCGCACCAACTCCGAAACCGCCCTGCCCGTCTCGCCCCCCAACTCCGCAAACCCCCGGACCACCCCCTCGCGATCCCCCTTCCGCATCTCCTGACTCATCTTCACCTTCCCCTCCACTTTGCAGATCTCAATTTCCACCCCCACGATATTCCGCTGCATGAGCTCAATATACCGCTCGGGCGCATCCTCGACCGTCCACGGGCCCGCCCGGCCCCCTTCCCCGGTAAACCCCATGATGCCCCGCTCGCACCGCTCCGACAGATCCCGCATCTGCTTCGCCAGGAACGCGCCCGTGTCCGCGCGCCGGGAGTCGTAGTACACCGAGAGCTTCCCGTAGACCTGCACGGCGGCGTAGTTCCAGGTGGGCACGACCTTGCCGGTGTCCGGTTTGGTCTGGGTGTAGAATTTCGGGGTCACGTAGTGGTGGTGGCTGCCTGTGAAGACGACGAGGACTTCTTGGGCGTGGGTGAGGATCTCCGGGGCACTGTTGTTGGTGTCGGTGTCCTTGGTGGCGGTTTCGAGGAGCGCCTTGACTTGCGGGTTCTGCTTGGCGATGTGCGCGCGGAGGCGGGCGGGTTCGTTCTGCGATGGGGGGTCGAGGACGAAGGGGACGTGCGTGCATTGCAGGAAGTCGTGCACCGAGGAGGGGATGCCGGTGATGAGGAGGCCGAGGGGATTGTCGTGGATGAATTGGAGGAGGGCCTCCGTGTCGGTTTCGGCGTGGACGCTGGGGATGAACATGTTGGCTGTCGTGAGGGTAGTTTGTTCTGGTGAGTGACGCGAGAAAGATCTGAGATCAATGCTGGGGCCAGGAGACGTGTTCTCCTTTATATGATGTTTTATCAACACCCTACTCTCCCCGATGCTGACACAGAGAATATGAGAAATTGGAGATGTTAGGTCTCGTGCACCCGATCGGGTAAATTGTGGGGGCCCTACCCACGTTAGCATCGTTCTCGCTCACCCGATTGGGTTTAGCGTCACGCAAGCCCTGGAGACTTCCCCGCCGCCATAGATGGAGCGAGTAATCGAATATGGGTGTCCGCGGAGTTGGTCACCATTCTTTACAACGGGAAATGAGTCACGGGAGATAGGCTCTTGAAAAGCTCTCTCAGGCCGAAAGCTGACGTACAGAGACCATCACGCACGAACCGCTCTAACCGTAAACGGTGCGCAGGTGCGATGGTGCCCCAACAAGCAGAAAATCTGTATATCAGAAGAACCATGTAGAAGCCAGCACACAGCTATATAATCTGTGCCAAATTCTTGTTCAGTAACCTCGTACGGTACCCCATCCTTCATCCAGACCGAATCAAACAAACTACAAAATGAGCACCCCAAGTCCCCTCCGCATCGCCATCCTCATCAACACACCCCCCGACACCGACTTCTGGCACGACGTGCACAAATGCTACCAGAATTCCTTCCTTGCCGTCGCGCCGACCGCCCAGATTGACATGTACGACCCGGTCTTCGAGCGCCGCTTCCCGCGCCCCGGGGATTACGACCTGGTCGTCCTGACGGGGGGCAAAGCGGACGCGTCCTCCTCCGAGCCGTGGGTGCTGGGGGTGTTGGAGTTTCTGCGAGCCGCAGCGAAGGAGGCACCCCGGACAAAGATCTTGGGGATCTGCTGGGGTCATCAGGCCATCTCGCGGGCGTTTGGGGGTGTCGTGCGCGCTGTGCCTTCGGGGCCGATTGTATGTATACATACACCCCTTGGCTCTTGACTATGGCTGGGAAGTGAGGGCTGATAATCTGTGGTATATGAGCAGGCTGGACTGGAAGATGTGCAATTAACGGAGGCGGGAAGGAGGTTCTTCGCGTGTGACGAGAACACTACTAGCTACGTATGTTGCCTGTGCACTTTTCGTTCAACTCGAGCCCAACTGATCAGCCTGGCAGCGGTTACCCGAGTTCCACGTGCGGGAGGTGGCCCAGCCCGGCGACGGGTTCATTCACCTCGCGGAGAACCATGAGATGTTTGTGAACCAGCAGAACACGGTGCTTTCATTCCAGTCGCACCCGGAGATTGGGGCCGAGATGGCGAAGAAGCTGTTGTTGGAGGAGGATGATGTGTACAACGGGGGACTCGGGCAGCAGGAGCTGGAGGCGCATCTGGCTCGTTTGGATCGGCCGACGGATGGATTGACGGTGTTGAAGCGGGTTGTTGAGTGGGTGAGGGAGTAGCGGAGAGGGCTTCTGACTATTTTGTGTGAGGGTTTGACCCTTTCTTCATTGCAGCATCTCTCGCACCGTAAGAATACACCAAGCTAGATTCCACCAACATTACTCCGATGTAGCAATCAACAGATCACGGCGAATAGACACTCATCTCGAACCCCCCCGTAAACGGCAAGGTGACATTCCTGAACCCATTGACCGGATCCCGCAAAAACGCCAAAAGATCCTTATACCCCTCCGCCGCGGAGATCGTATTATCCGTCAACACCACCGCCCCGCGCCGCAACCGAGGCAGAACCGTCTTGAGCGTGGGGAGCGCCAGCGCACACCATACTGTATAGTACATCTAACATTAGCCACAATCCATAAGGCGCAACCCCTCCCCCCAACCAACCAGACAGGAACTCACTATCCAAAAGCAACACATCCACCTCCGGTACCCCCTCCTGCAGGGTGACCAGCAGATCGCCCTCCCGCAGATCAATCACCCTCTGCACCTCCGGCCCGCACTGCGCCCAGTACCCGCGCGCGATCGCCGCTTTGCTCGTCTCCTTCTCGGTGGCGATCACCGTGCCGGGCTTGCCCGTGCGGGCGGCGGTCTTGGCCACGGCGAGGGCCAGGTAGATCGTGCTCACGCCGAAGCTGGTGCCCGCCTCGACGACGGTGGTGGCGCCCATTGCGGTGAGGAGCTGGTACACGAACTGGCATTTGTCCTCGTCCAGGGCGATGAACTTGTCGAGCATGAGGCGGTCAAACTCGGCTTGAGTTCGGGTTTTGTTCGAGGAGCTTGCGGCATGATCGGGGTCGAGAGTGTCCAGAATGTCGGAGGAGACGACCTTGCCTGTCTCCTTCTTGGAGATGGCCGCTTCTTGGTCGAGGGACTTTTTGTGGAGGGTGGTCAGGAGCTGGAGGATGTGGGGTGGGGCGTCGACGGGGTTTGGGGAGGACATTTTGCAGATAGGTTGCTGTTCGGTGATGCAGGTAAATTTTAGTCTAATAGGATCGAAGGGATGATGAGGAGGGTTGTTGTTATGATGGGAGCTTGTTGGTGTTATAGTAGTTTGCGTTTGGGGATTTGGGGTTCGGCAAAAGGCACGGAAATGACGGGACTGAGGGGGTGGGGTTTCTTGGCGTTTGGGGTCAGGTTGACTCAACCTTCCGTAGCAGCACTAGACATCGCTTGTTGACTACTCGCGCGGAGATCGTTCTCGCAAGGCCGTAGGAAAGATCAGATCATAGAGGTAAGTCTCGGGATGTGAGGTCGTAACTTTCACTATTAAAATCGCCTTTGGTTCTTATGAGTATGAAATAAAAGGCCATTCTTTCATACGTCTTTGCTAGAAATCTCACCTCTCAATTGACCGCCCATGAGAGGTGGTTTGTCCCGTAACTGTGAACAAGTATGACAACTGCTTACACCCACTTTTTACCCAGGCTTTTGACCCACAAGTGAAAGCTGATCAAATGGGTGATAGTAGCGTTCGAATGGCCAGGAGCCACGACTAAACATCTCGAAATCATCAATGTTAATGTATAGCAAGTTCGGGGTAATCATCGCCCTCGCTAAGTCGCTGCCTGAGGCACAAGATCGTAACGGGCGCATCCGGACCGGGACTCAACGAAAATGTTAAGAGTTTTGCGTCGTCTGCCGCGGAGATATCATGGAACTTTAGAAGTAGATCCCGGAGTTGACAAAGCTTGATTGGCTTGGTCTGGGTCTACTCAGTCCAATGCCTTTCTTACACAAATCTGCCCACCCCATCATCTGCTCAGATATTTATTCCCTTACCTTGTCCGACGCAGCAAGTGTGACCATGACGGTGTATCAACCTGCTTTCTCGAAGGAATAAGGAACCGTGCCGCGTCAGTGGCACCCAATAATCCATGCAAGCAACGGGTTTCCGTACCATCTCCTCGGGATTTGCTCGTGCCCCACCTCAACCACTTACATCCAATCACCATCCCAAATTCTCCGATCATACCACCAGCGATCTCGGTAAGGATCCCGGGAATCTCAGAATTCTTGCAGGTTCCAGTTATTGCGGGCCCCGCGTGGCACGCAAGTTCAAACCCCGAGCTAGAGCCACCGCCCCGTCTCACCCTCCTCGTCCGGGATTTGGTGCACTGGCCATGCGGGATCTTGCTCTATGCTCCGGGGAATGGTTATATCCCAATCCTTGCCCTTAGTCATGGCTTCCCTCGGTCTCAATTTCGCCTGCTGCTTGTCGCAACACCTGAGGACGATTTGCGCATGAACGAATACCATCGACCACTACCCAAAATGGATAATCCCAAGACAATACCAGACACGACTCGTCCGGGACATCGGAAATTCAGTAAGCCGCCAGTCAAGGTCGCTTGCCTCGCTTGGTATGCCCCTTACTCATAAACACACTCTCTGTAACCGAGAGAGGCGGATTACTGATGCTATCGCAAAGTCGCACCCTTCGTATCCGCTGCGACGGACTCGAAAAATGCGGCAACTGTGTCGCCAGAGAGACACCATGCTCCTATGTGCCCAGTAAGCGCGGGGGACCACGGATTCGGAAGCGGAAGCGGCCGTTGACACCAGTGTCCGGGTCCATGGATACGTCGCTGAACTCGATGTCGAACGACGAGGTAGAGGTGGATGGGCTGGGTTTCGGATTACCAGGGTCAAGTTCGGGGTCGGGACCGTCGTCGCAGATCTCGCTGCCGCAGGAGGAAGATGAGGGTACGTATGTGGATGTGTAGTGGTGTAGGTGTGTAGGCTAACAGGAGTAGTCTGGCTGGACCAGCTCTTCACACTGGGTGCTCCAGGAGCAGGACTTCGAAGTATCGAGAGCTCAGTGTCAGAGATTGAGCAAATATTCGATGAGATTTTCGCGGAGGACAGCGTGCGGATACCGTCTGAGGTAGAGGAGGAGCCCGCTGTGGAGCCGGACCTCCTGCAGACGTATGCGTCGGATGATGATATGTATGTGCCATTCCTAAGGTGTGGTGGAGGCGAGCTGACGAGAAGACTAGACTGGACGCATATTACGTCTTCATTCATCTTTACTGCCCCCTTCTCCCTCCGCCTGAGCGCCTCCCCGTGCGCAACAAACCCGTCTACGGCCCCGCGACCTACCGACCGTCCAGCCCGTTGGCGCTTGCAGTGTGCGCCATTCTAGCCTTGATACCTCATCCGGAGGTGCGACAACCCTCGAAGCCCGAATGCGTCAAGCTCCGACGAGAAATGGCACATTCCTATGCGCAATCGGCCTTGGAAGCCGTGGAGGCAGATCTGGAACTGCTGGATTCGGCGTCGGATCCGTCGCGCGCGCTGTCGGAGGGGGTGGCGCAGTGCACACGCGAGCCGTTTCACGTGAATGTGCCGGTTGGGCTGGAGGCGGTGCTGGCATTGGTGTTGCTGAGTAGCTATGAGTATGCGCAGCGGGGGAATATCCAGAAGATGTGCAATCGGGCGGGACAAGCTTTGACGGCGGCGATGAGTGTATCGTTGCATGAGACAGTGGAGGAGGATGGCTTTGCGGAGGCCAGACGGAGAGCGTGGTGGATGACAGTATGTTTCTTTCTTGCGGAGTGGAGATGTGTGCTAATGAGTACAGTATATGACGGTGTGTCAGGGATCGATTGTGAGCGGGATGGTACGTGTCACTCGCATTCTGGGCTGGCCTATTGCTGACGGACCATATTAGCCTCCTGTGATCAACTTGTACGACCCTCGCTTTGTGACCCCATACCCGAAGGTAAGTATTCTCCCGGAGAAGTCCTCTCAGAGTGTTGAACTTCAAACTAACAGCTCAGGGCTGGAAACTCCTCATTGAAGCCCAACAGACGATCCTCGAAGCCACAACCTTCGTCCACGACCTCAACCTCACCATCAAATCGCAGTACAACGCTCCATGGATCTCGAAGCGTATGATGGACCTCGACAGTCAGATCACCTACCTTTTACATCCGTGTCGGGCGTCATCTCCCTCGATACCGCGGTTTCCACCCACCCCCACCGACTCACCCGAGATAATAGCACTACAGAGCATGAAGTACATCGCCGAGATCAAGCTCCACAGGTGATACCCTTTCCCCAACCTCACTACACCCTCACCCAGTATCCTAACACAGAGTAGCGCCCGGATCAAGACGCACCGCTTCTGCGCCTTCCAAGACGCCGCGATCTTCCGCCGGCGCCACTGCGACCTCCACGCGACGACCCCCTCATCCGCAACGTCAGCACCAAGCTGCTGCAGCATGCCAGCCCCCCAACCCTCGAGCCAAACTCCAAACCAGTCGCGGAACTCGCGTATATCCTTCCCCTTCTCCAGTCACGCCTCCTCGAAGATCTGCCTCCACGCCGCCCTCAACATCACCAATCTCCTCGACAACCTCCCGTACCCGAACCCGACCAACGAGATCCCGCTCACGCGGCCGCCATACCTCGCCAGGCATTCGCGGGTAGAGATCCCCCGGACGATGCCGTCGTTCGCCTGCTGCGCAATGCAGGCGAGTTATGCGATGATGATGTTGGGAATGAAGGCGCGGGGGAGTGTCAGCTCGAACAGCAACGGTGGCACCGGCGGTGGGGGCAGCGGGAGTGGCCGGTCGTTGGACGGATTCGTGGAGGAGCTGCGGCAGAGTCTGCGCGGGGTGTGGAAGGTTCTGGGGAATTATGCGACTGCGTTTGAGGCGGTGGGAGGGATGAGAGGTATGCTTCCTTCAGTTGTGTCTTGTGATCTCCGTGGGTTTGGGTAAGGATACTGACTTGTGTGCGTTGTAGATGAGATTGGACTGTCGATGGGGTGGCTGGAGTAGGTTGATACTCTGGCGGCTTTTGACAGATGGTGGATAAAGATGGAGATGTGTCCTTGCAGATCTGGGAGGTCTAGTGGAGATCTTCTTACATGGCATTCACTCGATACGAGAGCATTTACTGACCTTCACCTGGCGGAAGTTGAAAGAGTTGCTTTCAGTGCCCATGGTCGAGTCAGGACGGTCCCAAGGCGGAAGGCGCGACGGTGAACAACAAGAGGGGAATACCGGCAACTGCCGGTGCCTGCTCCCTGCCCATGTGAAGCAACACACCCAAACAACCGCGAGCTATTCACAGACTTGCTCTAGCCTTTCAATCCGAGTTGATACCTGGCCGACCTCACAATCCTTATACAGTGAATAGGCATCGGAGCTCATCCTTAGCGTTCAGCTTGCACACATATTTAAGCATCACTTCTTATCCTGTTCTCGACCACACCCTCAGAAGAAAGCATCTTTCAAGATAACAAGCTCTCTCCTCAACAAATCAAACTTTCCTCAGCAACTATCAACCATCAACAACCATCAAAAATACCTACTCGCCAGTATCCACCATGGCGCAAGCAACTACTCCGGAAATCGACATCAAACTCGAAACTCCACCCTACTCGCAGCAAGACTACTTCCACCAGCTGCCCGACCACCAGCAGCTGAATCCACTGCCGCAGGAGGAGCAGCAGCAGCATCAGCCCATCCCGTCCGCAGCGCTCGACCCACTTCTTCTTGGCCCGGCCGCGCAGCCGCTCAGCCCGCCGGCTCCGAAACCCCACCGCGTCCCGCTGAGCTACTGCCAGTTCCACGACCGGGTCCGCTGCACCGTCACCACCGACGGCAAACGCTGCAATCGGCAGTTCGATAATGAGCGCAACCTGCAGGCGCACCATCGCAGTCTGCATGATAAACTGCTGGAGCCGTGCCCTTTCTGCGGACAGCGGTTCTACGGGCAATTCTCCTGGGGGTTGCACATGGAGAAAGCACATGGAGTCTTTGTGGCGGGCTGCAAGGTTGAGGAGGGCGACGAAGTGAAGATCATACAGTTAGAAGGGGTTGAGGGAGTCCTTCAGTAGGAGGGTTGGAGGTATCTCATGGCGGAGGTTTTCTCCGGTAAAGGAGGGATTGATACCTGGTGTATGATGCATTCAGGATCAGTAGATAGATCCATAGCCTGCAGAGGAAGTTCTCTGCGGAAGACGAATATTGCTATCCGATGTACTCGAACAATGACAAAACATGATATCGTGTCAAAGAGGAGATGGAGATACCATCTATCTATCACCACGCCAATGGGACCGGGCCAGTGGAACCGGGCCTGTCTTTGTATGTAGCCTCAAAGCTCTCTTTATCCGTTTATATAGCAAGATGAATATAAAAATGTCTGCATGACACAATCAATTCCAACATTCAAACCCCCAAACAAACTGCTGGTACTGTAGAATCATGGCCTCTCAGTCAACCGCACCAAACCGCACCTCGCCACCGAGCGAGGAGCAGGCAACTGCTACAGCCCCGGCTACAGCCAGCGCTATAGCCCCGCTGACAGCCTCAGCAACACCAACAGCCGCTGTCAACCCCATGGCCTTCACCCCCGTGAGCCGCCCATCCACCCCGCCATCCCAAATCCTGCCCAGCAACCCACCCACCCCCGCCGCCCCGGCCCGTCCCCGGTACAGACTCCCCCGAACCCTCCCGGGCCAGCCTTACCCAGCCCCCTCAACCCTCACCCAGATGCTCCCGCCAGCCCTCACCCAAACCCTCTCCCACCCCGTTAACCCCCAAGCCCCCGGAACCCCAGCAACCCCAGCAACCCCAGCAACCCCAGCAACCCCAGCAACCCCAGCAACCCCAGCAACCCCAGCAACCCCTGAAACCCCGACATCGTCACCACCCACCCGCCGCG